AAGTGGATGAGTAGGTGCTATTTATTCACTTACTTTCCTTTGGTTTTATTTTTTACTCGAATTGATATTCACTTTTAAAACGATTACCTTAAAGTTAATAAGCCTCTTGTATATTAAATAGTATTTATTATTTAAAAAAGTGCATGTTTTAAGAAACGTTGTTCTAGATACTAATAAAGAGGCTTCTATAGTTTTGTTGAATGGCAAATAAATTCTAAACACAGGTGCTTTTAACAAAGAGAATTATAGTTTTTTTTTCAAACGCAATAAAAGGAAAGTTAAATAGCTAGAAGATTGCTCTCCATTTAATAACTATTAAAATTTCGTTGTTTTAGGCTTAATAAAAAAAAACGTATAAAAGTTCTGATAATTCAAATGAAATCCAAAACAAAAATTGCATTATTTTCATTGGGCTAGGTGAACACATAATGTGATTTCAATAATACGCTTCACATTTACTGATAGTTTTATAAGGGATTTTTGGAAAATTAAAGTGTTTATAAATTATAAACAATTTAAGTTTAAGTATTTGATGTTGCTGCAATGAATGTTTACTTCAACGAAAATTGTATATTTTTTAATGCGCTGGATTACACAAAATGAGAGTGCGGAAATGGATATACTATAGCTTCGGTTGTATAAATAAAACCCTTTCTCTGCGTCTAAATTACAAATGTTGGTTGAGAATCAAAAGAAAGTAACTGCTGTAAAGTGTCTCAAAGTGGCTGAACCAATAATGAGAGAGGAACAAATTTGAACAAGATAATTAAAAAGGGATGTAAGAGACAGGTGTGATAGAATTTGACTTTTATCCCAGAATGCAACATATTAAATAAGAACAAATTTCCAAATACAGTGAAACCAGTTTCTGTGCGGTCCTTTTTTATGCGATTGGTTTTGTGCGATTTTATTTTTGAGGCTTATTATTTTTCACCGATGTGGCGATTTATTTTTATGCGGTATATGAATCTTAGCGGCGTTAGCACCAGTTTAATGTTTCCTATCAATGTACATATACATGTTGTGCTTCCATTTTGTTTCTATTTATGTGCAGTTTTTATGATTTTTATTTTATTTTATCTGATCACTGATTTTATGGTACCAAAAAACGAATCAATTGAAATCCTATCTTGAAGCGACGAAAGCGATTTTCAACCAATTCATTCCAAGAAGATGCGCGTTTTGGATTACGACGAGTAGCAGCAAACTATTTAATGTATAATTTGAAAACTTCTCCATGTATATGTACAATGGAGAATTAAATATTTTTGCAATTTCTTTAGGTCTTATTTAATTTAATTGAAAGCATTCTCATATCTATTTAATGAATCATTGATGTATTTTCTGAGACCGACTTTTTTTATGCTGTCCCTATCCACTGCATAAAAAAGTTTTAGGTTGTATATCGTACAAAGTTGTTATTATGTGTAAGAATTTATAAAATTTTCGAATATTTTTTTTGTACGATTTCTTTTATGCGGTCCCTATGCACCGCAGAAAAACTGGTTTTACTGTATTGAGAAACAGTGGGGTACTAGAAAGATCATTAATTAAATTATTAGAATTTTTTAAAAAATATGGAATGGCTCCTGAAAAAAATGTTTGGTAGATGAAGAGCAGGGTTGAATGATTTAAGCGGAAGAAAACTCAAGCTTGTGAATAGAATTATAACTATGTATAGGGATGGGCTATACATAGTTATATAAGACAGCTATTAATATCAGTAGCAGACTCTTTGATGTTGGAGAAAATTGTTTTATTTACAGGGGGAAAAACGACTTTAAACTCAAGTTTATTCAAAATCTTTGCAATGTGGAAACTGTCATCAGAATAATATACTATTCGAATATAAATTATCTGATATTATCCGAAATCCTGGGCTTCCCGCTAAATTTACTCTTTCACGCTTCGTTTTTTTCCCCTTATAATTATCGTGTTCAAGCCTGTTTTTCTAACCTTATTGGTTAAACCACTTTGCTCGTGTGTCTCTCTCTTTACTTCTGAATTATAATTAAATTTTTAGACGCAGAGGAAGACTCTTGTTTATATATTGATATATTTCATGAATATTTCAATATTGAATATTTCAAGAAACTAAAGTCAATTTTATCATAAAAGCAATAAGTTGGAAGAAAATATCGAAAAAAAAAATTTTTTTTGTTACAAGCAAACCATTTTTAAACCATTACCATTGTTTAGAAAAAATAAAAATAAATTTTACTAGCATAATAAATGAGATTATCTGTGAATTGGGGGTTTTGTGCTTTCACCAGTCTATTGAACATTAATAATTCCGTGCTCATCTTGAGACAAAATTTACTATGTTTTATTTGTGTTGTTTAAAACTTTACTTGGCAAAATGCTAAAAGACCAAAGTTCTAACATTACACTTTACTTTGAAAGGCTTTCGTGTTTTGTTTTCCTTTCACTTTTCAAAAGAATTATGTGAATAAATATCATTTTTCAAGCTTCACTTTAGAAGCAGCAACATTATACGGAGATAGTAAAGCAAAATAGGGTTCAACTGACGATAATTTATTGCCTAATGCGGTAATTTCACAAAACTATTATTTCATTCTTTCTTTTATAAAGAATGCGATTTTTCTTTTCATACTTTTTTGTTTGGGGAAAAAAATGAAATATGAAACCAATATTTCATTCAGACTCAAGAAAAAATATTCTTTTTCTAAAGATGATTACAAAATGAAAACTGGTTCATTTATCTAATATGTATTGATTTATTGCTTTTGTTTTATTCAGAAATAGATTCCTTTTTCAAATTATCACCTATAACTTCCAAAGAAAAAATACTTAGTAAATAAATTCGTATTTTTCTTTGAAGTAAAGAATAGGTGGAGAATTTATTTCTCAAAAAATTAACTTATTTTATCAATGGTTTTATATTTTTTCCGATAAGACCAAATGCATGCCTGTACTTGCTAAATTAAATTCTAGTGAATCCTATCTGGAGATTGGTTCCCACTGTTTTTAGGCTGTTCAGAATTTTACTTACCTTGGTTCAATAGTTACTGCCGACAATAACATAGACAATGAGATTTGGAGTCGTCTAATTTGTTCAAATAAAGCTTTTTATGGTTTTAAACGTTTTTTCAAATCCTCTCTTTTATGAAAAAATACAAAACTTTTACTCTATAAAACATTAATTAGGACAATACTTAACTATGGCTCTGAGACCTGGAACCTAACTCAAGCTGGTGAAAATAAAATTGACACTTTTGAGAGAAAAGTTTTGAGGGCCATCCTAGGTGGGATAAAAATAAATAATTCCTGGAGAAGACGATATAATACTGAACTGTATAAAATCTACAGGGAGCCAGATATTGTGAAATTCATAAAAATAAATCGAATGAACTGGGCATCTCACATTTTCAGAAGGAATGATGGCTCAAATTTAAAAAAAATCCTATTACACAAACCCTTAACTAACAGGAAAAGAGGTAGACCCAGGATGAGATGGCTGGATTTAGTTGAGACTGATTTCCTTACTCTAAGGGAGAAAAACTGGCGAACAAGTGTCAAAACTAGAGAGAAGTGGATTCGAATTCAAAGGAAGGCACTGGCCCACCCTGGGCTGTCTAGCCGGATATGATGATGATTATATTTTTTCAATAAGTTACTTATTATTATATCAGCTGAATTTTGAATAATTATTCATTGTTCTCTTAAAAAAATATCATTCAGTGGCGGAGTTTGAAAATTCACTATCAATTAGTAGTAGTTCATTTACATACGAATTACCAAGACTAAACTTTTAAACCACAAAAATATCCAATCATTAAAGCAAACATCATTTCAAATTTTTCGTGTTTTAATGTTTTACACACTTTACATATACGTCGGGGACATGATTGCTGAGTGGTTAGGAAATCAAAATCAGATACGAAGCGACCGGTTTCGTTCAAAAATTCCGCTAAGACCCACCAAGTACATGCGATATATGTTCTCGTAAAATCTGTCAAATCGTCCTGTGTTTTGTCACTGAGCAGAACCATGAGTATAGGGATCTGAAGAAATGTTTCTTCCCTTTAACTTTTATATCTTAATTGAGGAAGTAGTTTCACGACTAAGTGCGATGGTCAAACAAAAGGTACACAGTCCTGACTTAATTTTCATGCCGAATGGCTAGTGAAGTTGGCAAGTCCAAGCGTCGTAAGAAGCAGTAACAGCACAAAAATTAATTCCCTTAATTCCTTTTTTTTTCTTAACATCAATAATGTAAATTTTACTGGCACTTCAGGTATTTACTTCTATTAGTATTGCCAATACGGATAAAAATAGTTAATTTATCTAAATTTTAAAAAAAAAAAAACTTACAGATTCATAAAAATTTTTTAAAATAGCTGAATTAGTTACTTTTTTATTTTCTGTAAATAAAATAGAATTAATTAACATAGTAAAATTTTGAAACACTTGGAAAATATTTCTATTTCTAAATAATATTTAGGCAGAATGATACTCCACTTTTCCATTTAAGTATTTTAGCACGAAATAATTATGGAAATTAAAACTTTAATAATTTGCAGGAACCAAAATGTCTAATAAAAAATCAAATGTCTAATAAAATCTAAAAGTCTAATAAATAATATAAACTGTGAATAATTGAAAATGTTGTAATGTTGTTTCGCCTTTTTTTAAATAATAAAATATACAATTGCGGAAATAAAAAATGCATAAGCAATATAAATCAGTCTTTTCTTTACATAATTTTCAAACATATATTCCCTGTAATTTTTATTACATTGAAGTTCTATCAAAAACCACTAAAAAATTCCCCTAAATTTAAAGCTTAGAAGTGTACTTTCTTCGATTGTTTTTATATTTATCTAAAATTTTAAGTGTCTTCGGGAGAAAATAGAATTTATCTTCCTTCAAAATCAAAAAAAAGGTAACACTTTATTTCCATTAGTCAATATATAGATATATATATAATTTATATATAGCGATAGGATTCCAAAGAAAGCAAAAGAAGTGAAACTTACGATTCATGTCTAATGTGACAGATGTTACGACAGGAGCGGATATATTATTATTGGAGGCTTGACAAGAGAAAGAACTGTGGAGATCGTTTCGATCCAAGGAATCAACTACCAGCTCATTCCGAACTATATGCGAGTGAACTTGATAACTATCGTCCAATAGAATAGAATCTTTCCACCATGTCACTGTTGGGGGTGGCTTACCTGAAAATAAAAAAAGAATAAAAGTGCTTTTATTTTTTATAAGATAACTACAATTTTTATACATTTTTTTAAGAAATAGTAATATATGTTATGTAATACACCCTCCTCCTATTAAAGAATTCTAAAAGATTTTTTTTAAAAATACTTTTAGTACTTTCTTTACTATTTTGTATTATTTTGGTCAAAATAAGTGAAAAATTTTGCGTTTTGCATTTTAATAATTTACTGTTGCGAAATCCAGTTTGTGCTTATTTGCTGTTATTTAAAACTATGTGAAACAGATATGCAGCATTAAAATTTCTTTAAATTATGGAATCAGTTATTTATAAATTTTTGAATATATATGAAAAAATTTAGTTTTTTTTTCGATTTTGTATTTTAGTGTAAATATTATTCAGATAATACAACAGGACGATTATTACAAGACGATTTTTTATAATTAAAAAATTAGCAAAATATATTTTTGCTTGAAGAAAAAAAACATAAGAAACATAAGAAAACACAACTGTCCCATCTGCATCAAAGGGATAATGTAATATAATGAATGAAGCATTTAATAAAAATGCAAAATGTATACAAAGTACGTTTTTATTGCATCCATGTAATGATAAATTCCAAACAAAAGTTATGTTTCCATAATATGACACAAATTAACACTAAAATTCAAGAAATTAAACTATACTGAAAAAAGTGTAGTGCTACAAAAATAATTGTATGATATTGGTATTCTACACTGAGAATGGTATAAAGAATGGTACAAAATAAGCAATAAAATATGATTTAGTAATATGCGATAAAATTTTGAAAATTTTGTAAAATATTTTATTTTTATCATGATACCAAAGAGAATGGCTTAGAAACTATTTATTCAGTAAAATTTATTTTTCAGTTCAGTATTTTTTAATAAATGTGCTGTTATAAGAACTTCAATTTTGAAAGCCAGAATTACCGGAAAACCGTTATCATATGAGCGAAAAAGTTACCGAATGAAGGTTTAAATACCAACTCGTTTGGTTTTATCAACCGGAATTATTGTTTTTTCTTAATGTTATCATACGGTACGGTAATATTACCAGAAACTTTTTCTTCCTAAGTTCCCAGAGCTTCTTTTAACTCGATGTAAACTGTACTACTTAATAAGAAACTGTATAGGAATTAGAATTTCAAAATTCTTGATAATATGGCAGCTATCCATACTAGGCCATAACAACAAATTATGAATTATCTTTAGCCAAAATCAACTATAATTTTCTTAACCTCAACAACCACTGAAATATTTCGAAACACGAGATTGTTCGGAGAAAAAAGCAATAAATTAGCTTAAATGCAGCAGTTCAAACAAGTGGTACTAATAAGTATTCAAATACATAAACAACGACTATTAAGTAATTCGTGGCTTAAAAACACTTCATTACACTCTCAGAAGTAAAATTCTCAATTTTGACGATTCAGCAATCCTATCAATAATTTTCAGAATTCTTTAGCTACAAAATCACATGTTTTGTGACGAAACATTAGCTCTCAAATATATGACGAGAATGCTTCCTCAACTCGAAATCTTATCGTAGTGCAGTGTAGAAGATTGTGAACAAGAACGACGAAACTAGTATAAGGACTAGAAAATCGAAAACAGCCGAACGGACTGTATGGTGGTCACGGAGTTGGCCTCGTACCAGGAAGGTCCAGGGTTCAAATCTCGCTTCGGGCATGTGTGTAATTCATCTCCCGGTTTTATCTGTTCTGTTTGGGTTGCTTCAATGGCATTGATCCGCCTTATGGTGTCCGCGATTATGTGATTAATTATTAGAAGAGATAGATTCATTATACGTTATTTTCTTTTTTGAAAGAAATAGAATGAAAAAATATTCTATAAATTTGGTGGTTTTTAATTCATTTCCCCTAAGAAGTGCCGATAGTTCTTTCTTCACTTTGGAGAGTTTCAAAAGTTTGCTCGGAGCTTATACCAGGAAACAGTTTCGTCAAAAACGAAGAAAGTTTCGCTTCGTTTGAATATCAATTTTTTACAGTGTGATTAAAAAAAATTAAAAATTTACCATTTGTTTTAATAACCTCATAATTATTATATTTAAAGTGTAGTATAATATTTTCGTGAATTTGTCTATGGTAACAAAATAGAATTTTTCCCATAAAATAGATTGGGATTTTGCAACGGGAATGATAATAAACTGCATTTGAACGAAATTTTAAATTTCTCCTTAATTGCTTTTTACTTTAATTAGACGATAATAAAAAAGAAAATTATAATTTATTAAATAATATTTTAATTAAATATTATCTAAGTAGAAACATTGTTCTTATTCAAAAGAAAAAGTATTTTTTTGTAATTAATTTAACCGTAATATATCAATACTGTTTGTAATTACATTCTATTTAAAAACAAATTTGAAACGAATTTCAATTTATCATCTTATTTTGTATTCCTTATTTAAAATTATACTGACAATAAATCTTGAAGAAAAAATATCTCCGAGCAACTTTCCCTAAAAAACAATTCAGAAAATTAAAACAGCTCATTAAAACAGCAACCATGATTGTTTTCATCTCAAAAAATGAACGAGAAAAAATAAGTTTTAAACCTAATTAAGAACAAGTACACAATCCTTATGGTTTAAAATAAATTTAATTAAATAACGTGTTCGTTTATTTTCTGCATACGTCGAAAAAGCACTTTTCGAACTTGATGTCACATAATTAGGTTATTTGGGATGAAGCCAATTTTAGGATGTACAACCTCCTAATTGCAATTTCGTAAAGGCTAATAAGCATTTCTACCACTCCGAATTTATGGTTAGTTTGCAACTAATGATGGGACGGAAGATTAAATATTTAAATTTAAAGAATATTTTTCTATATGCATATAAAAGCAAGACATGACAACGGCAGGTTTCACCACCAAATAATTATGATTTAAATAAAGCAAGCAAAAATTATTTAATATTGAAGTGTTTAATTTATAACTACCTCACGTTATTTAATACGCAATTATAAAATAATTTTTTTTGAATTAAGTATCAACAAATAATTAAATTTAATGTACTTACAAAAATTGCTTATGAACAAAAAAAATTACATTACGAACTAAATAACATTGCATAAATAATTTTTATGCATTGTGAGAAATATTTGTTTATTTTTTTATTTTTTTATTTTTGGGAAGTAAAAAAGCAAATATCTAATTTTAGAGTACTATGGTACTGACTAATTTCGCACAAAGTAAACTTTGACAGTAAAATTTTTAAATGCGAATATTACTTACTGGCAAAAAAATACAGAAACTGACACAATAACAAAAAGGGGGTTGGAATAAGACCTGGTACCTCAATTGTGCAGAAATTAGTTCTGCTTTCAGAGGATAAACTCTAAATTACACTTTACTTGCCAAGAAAAAATGCCTACAATATTAGCGTGTTGTTGATTAATTCAGGGGGCCTGTGTTTGCTTTACTTTGCCAACTCTCTGATGGTGGTCTTCTGCTTTAAAAATATTGGTCATTTGAGTTTTAAAAATAATTCTTATTCCGGCTTATACGCTTTTTAACGATTTATACCCTAACAAACAATAATCATGTCGTCCAATAGTTGCACTGTTCTGCTTCATTTTTATAACCTCTACTATCGTAGTAAGACTGGGTAATATCTTGATGTGAGTCTATGATGGGCCCACAAAAGCTGCAGTGCAGCGGAGGAAGAAGACAACTGCGCCCAAGGTTGATTTGTAATACGTGTTCCGGGACAGAATTTATTACGGGCTCCTTCAAAAAAGCGAAAAATCTTATTTTCTTATTTTGTAGAAAAATTTTTAGACCTTTTCATACTAAACCGTAGTTTCATGCACATGTATATATATATATATTTCTCTTGCACTGCGACAAAAAAAAGCCTTATTACAACTCCCCGCAGGGCAACGCTAGACAATCAACTAATTATTGCCACTAAAAATGTCACATGCCAAATCTAGGGATGTGGCTCAATATATAGCGCGTTTAAAAGCGTAAACTGAAATAACCAGAGAGATCAATCTCATACTATTAAGCTAGGCAGAAGTGAGTAGTCTTTGTCGATAGATCTCTATTTTAGTATTTTGTTGAAAGCTCTTTTTTCCACGAATTTATATATTACGAATTTATTTGACGATTTTTGATTTATATCTAGAATTTATTTGCTTTATTATTGTTATTAGTTATTCATTGAAAAATGAGTCTCAGTCGTGCTATTACGCTTTAAGATTTTATACTATAGCACATTTCTAATAGGTTTAACGAATTACATGTCATTTATTTGAATTCAAATTTATTTTAATGACTTAGTATTTACTAAAAAGAAGTATTTTTTTTTTTAAAAAAAAGTTGTTATATGGATTTGAATGATTGCTTTGAATTCCTAGAATTTTGTGCATTTGCAATGTACCTAAGTCAGTAGCGAGCGAAGCGAGGTTGGCGAAGCGAACCATATAAGATTGCGTAGCAAATTTCGGGGGTTGGCGAGCGTTAGCGAGCAGGGAGCGCAACCCACTAGTATAACAAAATTCTCAGCAATTTACTCTCAAGAAATAATAAGCATTATATTTTTGCAAGAAGTTTATGTCGGCCCTTAGTAGTTTCGGGATCAGAGCAATTGAAACTCTCTCTCCCCTCCTTGAGTACGGCCTTGACTACATCACATATAAATTAAATGGATATTTTTCTAAAATAGTCATATAAAATAGAAGTGCCCGCTACTTTTTCACTCATATTCTAGCATTACTAAATTGAGCATATGGTTAACGTATGTAGTACCAGTGGGTTAAAACCGAGTGATTTGACTTTTTCCATAAAAAAAAAATAATTTTTAAAAAAAAAGCATTACATCAATGACTTTTTCGAAAATGATGTATTGTAAACAACTATACAATGAATATTTTAATTAAATTTGACAATTTCCACATTGAATAGTTTAACTCCAACAAGCCTTCGAATCTTAGCTACCCGGTATTAGTCCACTTTCCCTTGATTAAAAAAAATAGGCTAAATTACTAACAATCACTGACACTGTAGAAATACTAGTCAAGCACTTACGTATCCTAGATCATTTAAAAACAATATTAAATTATAGATATTACAAAAACCTACCCTAATTAAAGAATTTTAAAACAACAAATAATGCACAAAGAAACAAATCTGGAAATCAGACAGCTATTTCGATGATAAAAGCTATAACTACCGAAACACATACCAGGATATTTTAATGATGGCAATTCAGATTTATTAAAGTTAACATCAGTGCCTGTATTTCAAGTGTAATTTGAACATAGTTCAAATATTAAATCACTAAATATTACTTAGCAACGTATTATTAAGCACGTAACCGAAGACTTTTACAAAATTACATATTAGAAATATTTTTAAAAGTGTTTGGTTTTAATAAAAGCATTTTACTCATTTGAACGTATTCATAATGTTTCTGTACTTTATTAAAACAATTTATTTTATTTATATTATATTACTTTAGAATACATGCTTATTAATTAAATGTTGTTTTCATGCGTTGGTAATTATATACTTACTTAATTTGAATTAACACAAATACCAACGCATGTGTTACAAAATTATGCATAAATGTTGTTTTTTTTTCAATTCGCCAAATCTTGAAGAATAAAATTCAACTGCGTGTGGAATAAAATTTTAATCACACATCAGCACAATTCCGTCTCGTAACTTAATGAAAAATTTTATCATAAATATTCCGTAATTACAACTTAATTTGTTAGCGAATTGATAAGAGAATATTAAGCATTTTCTCAATCTTATGAATAAAAAGAAACTTAAGCAAAATGCCAAACAATTCAATTAACTTAATCATCTTTAAAGGTGCAATGCTGCGAGGGATACTTAGACAGCGAAATTTTTATGCATTACTTTTAAGATGAAGTTGGTTTTACTTACCACCTTCTACCTCACAAATGAGTATTAATCTGGAGCCGAGATTATGGGGACCAGACACCCTTTGCAGAACATCCTCACTTTGGTCTTTTATAATTGGCTTTTTAGGGGGAACTAGAAGGAAAACAAATATTGTGTCATTTATTTGATAATGAATGCAATAAACAAATTGTTTTGAAATAAAATTACTCTTTGGCTAATTGAGAGGGAGTTTGGGTTATGTTAAAGTATTTCCTAGAAAGTGTTAGTTGTTTTGATAAATTGAGTTACTTTGTTGCTATTTGCCCTGACAGTTTATGAAAATAAACAAGCTTTATTTTTAAGATTTATGACTAGTGTTTTTTTTTTCTTAATCATGAAGGTTTTTTTAGAAATTGATAAAAATATACAAATATTATATTAATTAAAATGTTTATTTCCTATCATGAGTTTTTAAAACTTTACGAAAATAAATAATATTCATTAATTAATTTACTATTTTTAAAATTACGTTTAATTTATTAATTAAATAATCATTTTTTAAAATTATGTTTAAAAATTTAAAGAAATTAAAAATTATGTTAATTTAACTGGAAGGAAAACAAATATTGTGTCATTTATTTGATAATGGATGCAATAAACAAATTGTTTAGAAATAAAATTACTCTTTGGTTCATTGAGACGGATTTTGGGTTATGTTAAAGTATTTACTAGAAAGTGTTAGTTGTTTTGATAAATTAAGTTACTTTGTTGCTATTGCCCTGACAGTTTATGAAAATAAACAAGCTTTATGTTTAAGATTTATGAACTAATGTTTTTTTTTAATCATAAGCTTTTAGAAATTGATGAAAATATGCAAATAATATATTAATTAAAATTTTTATTTCCTATCATGAGTTTTTGAAACTTTACGAAAATAAATAATCTTCGTTAATTAATTCAATATTTCTTTAAATTATGTTTTATTTATTAATTAAATAATTATTTTATAAAATTATGTTTTAATAAAAAAAAGCATTAAAATGAATAAACTTCATTTTTATGATTTATTAATTAAAGCATTTTTCATGATATCTAGGTTTCTTGACTACCTAATATAAAAAAAAAAATCAAGTTTTGTGTATAAAATCCGTGAGGTTTAGTTTTCTTATGTAAGGAAAAATATGTTTTCCAAATATTAAATGATAAATAAAATTTCTTTGAAAATAAAAGCATAAAAAAAGGTTTATACTATTAAGGAAACTAATTGTGTAAACCTGATGGTTTGAAGTTAATAGTCCAAACCTATAAACCTATCGTTTAAAAATAGTAAAAATTGTAAATAAGCAAGCTGAGGCAAAACTATTACCAAAGTAATTTTCAATGAATATTTTTTTTTATTTGAAGAGTATTTCATTTGATAAATTTTAATTGATTTCTTTTTCTTCTTTACCCAAAACCGAAATACTTGTTTTCAGTTATTTTTTGAAAAATATTACGTTAAGCATTTAATCTTGAAATAAAATATTATTATTATGGTACTATGCAATTTATTTATGAAAAATAAATATAACTTGTCAAATAGATTATGGTGAATATTATAGACGAATTTAAAAATCATAGTTGGTATTGAAAATAACTTAGTACAACTAAGTAGTGACAGTACAGGGCCCCTTTAGATATGGTGAATTCATTTTAATTGTTCTATACTAATACATTGAAATTTTGTAAATAAATAAAAATCCATTTTTACCACATTTATACAATAATACCACATTTGAATATTGTCTCTGGAATGAATATTGTCTCTGGATGTTATATTATAAGTTTTGAAAGTAGAACCGTATTATAACAAAATTAACTAAATTAACAGAGCAAATATAGAATTGCATGTTGATTAATTACAAATTCAAATAATAATTTGGAATAATAAAAACAATATTTTCTCAGAACAGAAAATAATGTAATAATAAGAAATGCAACAATAACAAACTTAAAGAGATTACTTTTTCGAATGTTTAAAAAATAACACTCATTGTATAACTTTACATAATAACTAAAAGATTTTCTAAATAATCATAATTATAATAACCATAATTTTCTGACTTTAGGCCAAAATGTGAGGATGTTTAATTTTAAATAACTTCAGTAAATAAAAGAAATTCTGCTAAGAGACTTTACATAATAAAACATAGAATTTTTTTTTCAAATGTTTCAACAGTAATTTAATAATTTGTAAATAAATTAGAACAGTAATGTCTACAAATCAAGAGTAAAATAAAAATTATGAATTAAACAATTCGCTATACCAAATTAAATGTTTCAATATATAAAATCAAAACTTTGGTGTAATGAATAAATGAATAAATAAAATATAAACGTTTTTTGCCTACTTAATATTAAATTTGAAAATTAGTTAATTATGTAACTTTTTTAAAGACTGCGTAAATTGCGTAAAATAATGTTAAGGTGATGTTAACTAAAATAATGTTAACAAATATTAATTTAAAATTGACCATTTATTTTGTCAAAGTTGTTTTTTAATCCACACTTAAGACCTGAGAAAAAATTGATGAACTTAATTGTTCAAAATTGTTCAAATAAGTTTGCAACAAACAAGGAAGTTTTAAAAAAAACACAACCTTTATCTAAAAAAGTTTTAATGAACTAATAATAAATTAACTCTTAATTTTTTTAACATAATGTATTATTCGTCTTCATCTATGTAAAGCTACAATAACTTAATTCCGTTAATAAAAGTTGTTATAACTTTTATACACCACTCTGTTCCTTTCCCAATTACTATTATTGTCATATTGTGAATGGCAATATTATTATTATATTTCTTTTAGTTTTGCATTAACTTCATAAATTTAGAATCTAAAATTTTTCAAACTGCTTTGTATCAAAATCATCTGAATTAATTTAAAAAAAATTTAAGAGAAAAAGATGGATTAGAAAAGGAACTTAAAATCTATGAATTTTTTTTCTAAATTCCAATAATATTTAGTGTCCTTATGATATTGCTACTTGATGAATGATTTTGTGTAATTTTTGGTTCCGTTTATTTTGCTTTGTTCAATAAAGTTGGCTCGTTTGTTAAAATTATAATAATAACTTACTTATAATTTCTAATATAACAAGTGAATTTCTGGATCTGGCTATTTTAAAATCTACTCTACATCTGTATTCGCCCTCATCTTCAGCTTTTAGTTGCTCAAGCTTCAGAATGGTTGGGTTTGTTGACATATCTAGAAATGCACGTCCCATGATCTCTTGTCCGGGAGCGTGTTTAGCCTGATATAACCCTCTTCTTCGAGAGTCCAAACTGTACAGAGGGGTTGTACTTTCGTCTTTGTACCAAAGTACTAACGCTACATCATCTTCGGTAGATGGTGGAGTAATATCACATGTTAAACCAACTTTGCCACCTTCTACAGCTATTACAGTTTCGATTTTTTCTGAAATGAGAAAGAAATAAGTTCGTTATTTTATTTCAAAGGGAAACATAATAAATACAAAAGTTATTTAAAATAATAAGGAAATTCTGAAACAAAAATATTAGCTCATTTCAAATCAATAAATGTAATGTATTTGCAAGTTAACTAAGATTTCAAGTTTCCATTTATTAAGGATTAAGGCTTTTAACTGAGGTTAATCTCAACCACATTTACTTCTATTTTAATCTAATTTTACTAATACCGTATATTTTCGAATGTAAGCCGAACCGTGTATGAGTCAAAGAGTGCAATGTTAGACAATGTTTTGGAAAAAATGGTTAAATAACAATTTATTTGCTTGTTATTTTACCATATTTAAACTTAACCATCAAATAAGATTCATCAAGATTCATTTTACCTAATACGATTAAACAACCAGAATTTTAACACAATATTTAGACCAACCTAAAACCCCTTAGTTCCTTACAGATGTGTACATACTATACCCGAGATCTTATATCCAATAAAAAGAGTTTTAGAGTCCCAGCGTTGATGCCACAATTTTTTTCTGTATTTATATTCCCCCAATATTTCCTCTATACCCTCTATATAAATACGATACTCTAATTAGCGCTTAGATGACAGGACCATAACTCTGCTGAACTACTTCCATTGTTCAACTAAATTTCTTTTTTACGATTTTGAAACCATCATAGTTGTAAACGTTCGAAAAACCGAATAATTTTGTATTTATGGTTTTTTAACCATACTGGTTGAAAACGGTTATAAAACGGTACAGGTAAAAAAGGTTTTTTTTACCTTAACATTCACTGTAAATTAGATGGATGGACTGCTGCCATTTATTTTACAATAATTTTAGAAAGAAAATTCTAACAGTTTTTATTTGGAAATTTTCCTAAAATTTAAAAAAAACTTATATAAGCCGATATAAAGTAAATAAATAGATAAGATGCTTAAAAATGTACCCCTACTCTTGTAGTAACAGTTGCACTTTGGGTAAAAGCGGCATGGACCTTCCGAATTTTGAATTAAAAGATAAAAATATTATAGTATTCATCACAAAAAAAGTTTTTTTTTATGTGTTTCTTTTTCAATTTTTATATTTCGGCATTCCGTTTTTAACTTTAATTTTATGTATTCTTATGCCTTGTATACATTTCGTAACATTTACTGATTATCGCTAATGCTCTACAAAAGGAAAAATATTTCTTTTGGTGATGTCCTCCTAAAATTTTTCGAAGTTAATCGACCGGATTATTTTCCGATCCCCAACTTTAATATCCGAAAATTTTCTGAAAATTCTTGATTTATATTTGGAAATATTCAGTAATAAATTTCATTGTTAACTTAATCGTTCAGTTAAAATTTTGTGTTACTATGTCTCCGATTAGAGAATGATTTCGTTTTTTTTTTTTAATTCAGAGGAAAATTCATTGTGAATTTCGAGAAATATCAAATTCATACAAACAAAACAAAAGTGCATATAAGAAAAAATTTGAGGGCAGATTTTATGCTGTTCCAATTCTAAAGTTTCTGAACATTTGCAAAAATGATAAAAATAAATATGCAATTAAACAGTTTTATAACTGCGAAAGAAAATCATTAACTTAAAAAAAACAGAAATGCATAATTTTTTTTCACTTGTGTATGCAATTTTTTCAATTCAAATTCTTTAATTTGAATGCAATCAATTTTTTTTTCTCACATGCGTTTATTTCTTTTTCCGTAAATAATTAGTTATTCTAAGTAAATTTAAGACATTCACGTGTTTTTCAAAATGCAATAATTATATAAATTATTATACTTTGAGCTTTAATTATGCATTTGAAATGCTTCTTTATAGTAATCGCATTATAATATGCGAACTAAGCTTAGGAGCTTATACCTACCAAATTTAAAAGACTCTCTTTACAGGATTACAATGTGTTGTTCAAACATTTATTAATGAAAAACCGGTTAAAATTATTCCTCTTTTTTTTTTTGAAATTTAAAGAAAAAGTAACAGCGAAAAGTTAAATATAAATATTAAATCAACAACAATGTATCTAAAATTATTTTAGTTCTAATTAATGACTTTGAAATAATTAAAAATCTAAAAATAATTTGTATCATATTAAGATTTACATTTGTAACCAACTTGATAAGAACAACTCCATTTTTGTGAAAGACATATTTATGTTACATGTTATTTCTTTTTCAAATAGTTACTAGTTATCTTTTTCTTTTTAAAAAAGTTTTTTACTTTTAATACTACGCCACATAATATATTTATAATAAAAAATATTTTCCATTTTAAGCTCTTCAAATGTCATATTGTTATGAGATGTACATACAATAAATGATATTAAGTTCTTAAGTGAAGCGAATATTGAGTTGAGCTCTTTGAGGAAATGCTTTAAACGAAATACTAGAAAGCAAAAAGTTTTTTACTTTCTTTAGTCTAATATAAAAGTTTTTATTTTATTTTTTTTATTTGATATTACTTTTATATTTAGAAATTACTTCATTTTCTAGTTGAACTAATAAACGCTGATCTCATTGAATGCTCATAAAATTATTTGGAGCAAAATATTAAAGTAAAAACTTTTCTTTTAAATAATGTGTCATATTTTCTACTATTTTTAATTTCTCAGTACATTTTTTTAAATAGAAAAATCGAAAAATTGGTTTGAGGAAGTAGAAACTAAAATTTATTAAAAAGAAAATGCCGAGAAAGTTTGAGAATGTCTGAGTCAAATGCTTCACGCATCCATCCAAACATTCATCATGTCTATGGTTACCCGATGTTTGATGAAATTCCTTATTAGAAGTTCTAAACCTGTACTTAATTATAACCATTCATATACATGCTTGTTAAATATTATAAATTTGGTCTGATGAAACATTTCAACTCTATTAATCCCAGTAAAGATAATAACCTAGCAAATAACAAACTAAATCTTTACGTATCAGTAAAGCTTAAATATCAAAAATTAAGAAACGTATTCTGGTCTCCATGGCAACGAAAAATTTAAACATTTAATGTTTGATATTTACATTTAAGAATTTAACTTAATTGGTATTTTAATGCTATGAGGAGAATTGTTTTTTTACTGTATGCTTTGAATATATTCTTACGAAGAAAAAATTACGATTTGTCATCCGTTTTTGCCTGTTTGGTCTGCAGTCTTATTAAGATTAGGCAATAAGCATTCTTGTTAGGAGTTTTAAACTAGATTTTGATGCCGTAAAGAATGGTATTGGGGCTTAGAAATCATTGAATACAATAAAATAATTATTTTTAAATCAATAACATACGAAGACTTTTGATAATAGAGCTGGAATAGTTTATTGGCGAGTTTTCGCGAAACTAAGAGGCTCCACCCCTTGTTCGCTCATCTCACTCACCCCCGTAAATGCCCCTTATTAAACATTGTTTTTTATTTCTCAAAAATTAATATTTTTTATTCTTCTTATTATAAGTTAATGTATCGTATTAATATAATTTCGCTCAGACAACGGATACATTGTCAATATTTAAAGCAAAAATACTAAAGTAAGAAAGGAATTACAAGAAAAGCCCTTACAATTTCAATAACTTAATTGCAATTTCGAAAAAAAAAATCGTGTTAAGCTCATGAATAAAACTACTTATCAAATATTAATTTAAATTTGAAACTACGTTCGAGGTGCTTTATTCATCGTTCTTCATCAATTTTTCTACAAACGTTTGTAATTTCAAGATTCAAAATACTATAGTTTTTGAGCAGAAAAGCAAAATGTAATGTGAAGTTAAATATCCACACTGTAAAAAACTCTGTATCCGGTACCGGCACTAAAAAGTACCGGCACTAAGGATGTTGGTACTTTTTACCATTTACTTTTATTTTTATAGTAATAATTGCAATAAAATCACTGAATTAGTCTTATTAAATAAAGATTATTGTAAAAACTACGGCATTTTTTTATGATAAATTGGATTTTACGAAAGATGCACCCTAAGTGCCGGTACTCTATACCGGAATTTTTTTATACATAATGCGCTATGCTGCTTATGATTTTTCAATGAAGAGAGATAATTTTGAAAATCTGATTCAGGCAAATCTCCCTAAAAATCCAAATATTTATACAAAACATAATTTGCATTAAATGTTACTACAAATGTTGTTCAAATCGAAAATAGTATGTAGGAAATCTTTGTAAATAAAAATAAACTTAACATAATCACAACATTATACGTAAAACAATTTATATTTCTTATAGAGTCTAATCTTGACTGTGCAACAAATATTCAAACTAAGCACAAGAAAAGCTTAAGGAGTTATAAAGAAAAGTAGAATAAACTCTCCTAATAAATTCATTTCTAAGTATGAACAAAATTGTCGCCTGCCTAAAGTACTTTCATGCTACGAATTACTTTCCTTAATAAAACTTTTAGTAATCAATCTTCCCATTTTTTTTAAAAAAAAAAGATGGAAATAATTATTTTTCCTGAAATATTTTTAGTTTATGATTAAAATGAAGGATTTCCTAGTAAAACAAGCGATTATTAATGATAATTTATGTTTCATTCCATAAAACTAAATAAGATATTAAAAAAATGTCATTAATTTTTTTTCAAAGCATAGGCTTAATATTTTTTGTTTTTGATGCAATTTCATTCTCATTTATTTTAAAGTTAAGTTTAATATCCATGGAAACAATTTAATATATTCTTATAATCAATTGGTGTATTTTTCATGGCAAATCTTATTATATTATAATGCAGTTTGAGTGTGTATAGGTACTAACGTATAGTATATATTTATTTTTTTGCTAGTACAGCGTTTATCAACCTTTCAGTATTCAATTTTCAATCATAATTTTCATCGCGCCCCTCGCATACAGTAAAATGTATACAATAATATTGTATTTTGAGTATTTTTCCTCTAAACCTACACTATGACCTTAATTTTAAACCTTACAAATTACCAAGAATATTGAAATTTATTGATTTTTGGCAACACCGATCCTCAGCATTG